ATAAATTTGCAAATATGAAACATACCGGTCAATATCACCTTGCTGAACTGTCAATAGGCCTACCCCAAAACCAACCCAGTCTCATGGCATTTCGTGTTCACCAAAACGATTGTTAATCTATTGATTCGTGTTCACCAACACGATTTCCCCCTTTTTTTCGTGTTGCACAGCACGATTTTGAAAGCAATGTATTTCTAGTGGTAATGTCACGATTCTCATGTTATGTCACGTTTGTAGTTTTGTATGTTTGGGTGTTTGCTGTCATGTTTTCCTCCTGGGTTATTGTCTGGTCCTTTTCCCTGTGTTTTTCCTCCCGTCGTTAGTTTCCCTGGTGTGTCTAGTTGTCTGATTGTGTTCACCTGTTGTCCTTGTGTTTCTCCTCCCCTGCCCGGCTGTTTCTCGTCTCGTGATTACCCCTCCCTGTATTTAGTCTTGTCTCTTCCTGTGTTCAGTGTTGGTTCGTCTTTTGTTGGTGACTGAGTTCATCTGTTTTGTCTATGTTAGTTTCATTATCCTTGAAATATAGGTTTATCAGAGTTATCTGCATTTGGGTCCTGCTCAACCGTGACAGGTAATGTGTTTCGTGCCTGCAGCACGTCTTTTTCTCCGGTCGGGTCGTGGAAGATCGGAAGCTGTGTGGTTCATAAAAACATGTTCTTACTCAATATCAAGCCACAGTTATTGCTTTTATGTTAAATCGTATAATTTCAGACTTTTGTTGCCGTCTGTGAGGAAAATAAATGGGGCTTAGAGCCTCAGAATACTGAAATCTGTATTTGTTATAGTGCTGGGGGGGAAACGATTATTTTGAAAATGATTAATCGGGCGATTATTTGATCGATTAGTCGACTAATCGAACGATTATTTTTTAATGTAAAAAAAACGTAATGTACATTTTTTTTTTCCGCTATACTGTGTCTCAGGGGATCTTAATATTTAAGAACCTATTAATGTGTTATACCAGATTAACGGAAATAATCTCAGCTAACTGACGATACAAACCATGTTTACCAAAACAAAACACAAGTCTCATAAGAAGCATCTAAATGACCCCTGAGCGAAAAATGCTAACGGACATTGGCACAGATCTCAAGATAAAAGTACCCTTATTACTTATCATAGCTGCACATACAAGATATCTGATTAAAACTGAGACTCCACAGATTATGTAGGTACATAGTATCATCACTGAGTGATCCGGACTCGCGACAGGGGAAGCAAATACAGTCATCACAACACGTACCTTCACAGAGCTTCTAGGGAGATCGTCTCACCGCCGTAGCTGTCAATCTGATCAAAATACGTGTTCAATGGCATTAAAATGAGAAAAAACGCGGCTGAATCGGTTAATCCATAGGTTTTTAACGTCTATGTATAAACAAATTATTGAATTTATAATCCATAATTCCATTTTAATGTAAAAATCGGAGAGCAAATGCTAGCTGCTAATGGTTGCCACCACAGCTAGCTGCTGCTTCTGGTCAAGCAGCAGTCTCAGTGAGATATAAATATCTTTGCGTTTTGGACTAACTTTAAAATATTCCCATGCTTTTGAAGACCTAGGGCGAGATGTTTTCGTTTGAGGGCTTCGTGCGCAATCCTGTGAGGAGGAGTTGGTAGCCGTTTCAGTCTCCATTGTGTTAGAAGTGCGATTGCGAACTGCTTGTTGCTTTGGGTGACCCACGTGTGTGTGGCGACCATATATACAGTCTATGGTGGCGACGCGTCGACGCGGAAATATGTCGTCGACGATATTTTGAAGTCGACGACGTCGACACGTCAATACAGCACTAATTTTTTTAATCTTTTTTTCCTTCTAATTTGTTATTATTTTCTAAATAACACACTGTTATTTACTCACCAATAACACACAATTATCCTTGCTTTTATTTATTGGTTTAATTCCATAATCTCGGGCTTTGTTGGCGTCCGTCAGGAACTGAATTTCAAAATAAAAATAACCGGAAACAGACGTAAGCCTCTAGGAGTTTAGGATGGCCGAAGACACTACACTACCCATAATCCCCAGCTATCGTGCCTAACCAGTCGATCGCGAGATGTGTCTAAAAATAGAACAACAATATTCTGTTTTATCGTTAATGTCCTGTAACATAATCTTCCTGTGCCAGAATAATGCACTTGAACCCATCAAAGCTTTGTGATTGGCCGGCGTGACCCCATGTGTCGGGGCGTGCTGGTGAGCAGTGGGCAGTGCACTAGTTCGCTAACGCTGTCCGTGTCAACAGGAGTGACAGTCCGCACACACACAAGACCGCAATTATGGCAGAAGCAAAACATATATAATTTTCACTCCGAGTGGGAGGATGATTATTTTTGTATCTATTCCAATTCAAAGTCCATCTGTCTCATCTGCAATGCGAGCGTGGCTTTATCGAAGAAGGGTCATTTAGGAGCGGCATTTCAAAACAGTGCACAAACGCTCCCAAAAGGTGAGGGACCTGAAAGGACAGCTAAATGCACAGCAGTCCCTTTTCACCAGGCCCAACAACAAGAGCAAGGCTGCTACCATAGCACCTTATCATGTCAGTCACGTTCTTGCGAAACACATGAAGTCTTTCAAAGACGGTGAAGTTGTGAAAGAAGCATTCCTGGAGGCTGCCGATGCGTAATAAAAATAACAGAAGCATTTCAACAGGTTTTTGATATGATAAAAACTCAAGTTAGATACCGTTATTAATCACCTATGAGTTTGTTTGAACTTATTCATTATAATTATTGTACAAAATGGTATAAGAATGCAAACTTAAATTGATTATAGTCTATTATCAATTCAGGTTAAGAAACTAGTGTTGCTTGCTGGAGAACTGGGTGGGACTTTCGGAAACAGTTCTGAATTGGTTTGAATCCTACTTAAAGGACAGAAACAACTTTGTTTCTATAGGTAAATACACATCTGAGTTGACAAATATGACATGTGGGGTTCCTCAAGGCTCCATCTTGGGGCCTCTTCTCTTTAACATCTACATGCTACCACTGGCTCAGATAATGAAGAACAACAAAATAAGTTACCATAGCTATGCAGATGACACACAAATTTACGTAACAATTTCACCAGGAGACTATGCTCCAATTCAAACACTGAGTAAGTGCATTGAACAAATCAATGACTGGATGTGTCAGAACTTTCTCCAATTAAACAAAGATAAAACTGAGGTAATGGTTTTTGGAGCCAAGTCAGAACGTATAAAAGTTAGCGCTGAGCTTCAGCCTGCAATGTTCAAAACAACAGATAAAGCCAGAAATCTAGGTGTAGTCATGGACTCTGACCTGAGTTTCAACAGTCATATTAAAACAGTTACTAAATCAGCCTACTATCACCTAAAGAATATATCTAGGATTAAAAGACTAATGTCACAGGAGGATTTGGAAAAACTTGTCCATGCTTTTATCTTCAGTAGACTCGACTACTGCAATGGTGTTTTCACAGGTCTCACTAAAAAATCTATTAGGAAGCTGCAGCTGATTCAGAACGCTGCTGCTCGAGTCCTCACTAACACTAAGAAAGTGGATCACATCACTCCTGTTCTGAAGTCTTTACACTGGCTTCCTGTGTGTCAAATAATAGATTTCAAAATACTGCTGCTGGTTTATAAAGCACTGAATGGTTTAGGCCCAAAATACATTTCTGACCTCCTGCTAAATGATGAACCATCCAGATCTCTCAGGTCTTCAGGGACTGGTCAGCTTTCTGTCCCCAGAGTCAGAACTAAACATGGTAAAGCAGCGTTCAGTTATTATGCTCCAAATATCTGGAACAAACTCCCAGAAACCTGCAGGTCCGCTGCAACTCTGACTACTTTTAAATCCAGGCTGAAGACTTTTCTTTTTGTCGCTGCTTTTAATTGAACTATTCATATCTTAAACTGCACTGTAACTTGTATCCATGTATTTTTTCTTTTAATGTTTATTTTATTAGCTTTTCTTTTTAATGACTGATTTTAAATGCCCTTTTCTTAATGTCTTTAATTTTTTGTAAAGCACTTTGAATTGCCTTGTGTTGAAAAGTGCTATATAAATAAACTTGCCTTGCCTTACATAAGAATAGATCATATTTGCTAAGTGTTATTATGGGAGAATAACTATTATTGTACTATTGCCCTATTAGGCCCATATTGAGCAGAGCATATTAAGACCAAAACTCATGTACAATAACTTCCTTACTTGCAATATATAAGCACTAATTAGAGGGTTATTGAGGAAAAACTCTCAACAAATGGCCTTTGTAGAATACGGTCATGTAGAATAAGGCATTAATAAGTGTTTTATAATGACTAATAAAGAGCCAATATACTGCTAATATGCATGTTAATTAACAACTAGTTGATGGTGAATTTGTGTACCTTAATATAAAGTGTTACCCAAATAAGTTAGGAAACCAGGAAACGCTGCCATAAATGTTTCCTCCTACAGTGAGACACCTGTCACTGCTGTTCAGCAGACAGAACTATATGTTGGGAGAGGTGTTTGGGCTCTGAATATTTCCTACTGGGGATTATAAACAATCGTTTCAAACCCTTTTTAGGTAAGAACATATGCATTCATAACTACAGAATAATCCTTAATCAAGACCCAGAGACCATCCTTTTGGATAGTTCAACATGGTGCATGACTGATGTGTTCACATTATTGCAGGAGTCTAGACAATCTACACAGCGATTAATGTGGTGGTTAAGAATTAAAAGTTTGAATCATTGATCATGAGGTTATTTGCTAGGTTAATGCGAAAAGCCTCTGAGCTGGTTGCTGACTCAAACCCTCCAGTCAGGTTTGAGAGGAAATTCATACTGTATGTTCAGAAATATGACAGCGGCAAGTTTTAATGACAAGTCAAATTTAAATGTTTGCAATATGCACAATAGTTCACAATTTGTACATTTCAGGAAAAGATCATTAAAGACACTTAAAAAAACACAGTTTGGGTTATACACAATTACTATGGGTAGATGTACACATGGAACTTAACATCAGTATTGCTGCCACATTGCATAAATTGTTTAGTGTGAGTGAAGTTCATATGTTGGTAAAACAGACCTGTCAATTGATCAATCATAAACCACAGCTTTTATTAGTCTGTCTCCTGGAAATACATCTATTTATATACATGTATTTGATAGTTCACTACATCCAGTTTGGGTTCCTTTTATACAGTTGCCCTCATTCTCTCAAGTTGTATTTTCATTGCATTGTTTACATTGTTCCTCCTCCAAGCAGGAAGTGTGAGTTTTACCAACATACTATGCTCTGTAAAAACGAACTGTGAGCCTGGGATTGGATTATATACCCTGAAATTAAAAGCTGTATAGCTGAGGTAATGATTTAAGTTAGGATTGTCCCTGCTACGTGGGTCTGTATGAGGAATATTAACATGCAGGACACGGTGTAGCCCGCCACATGGTTGAAACACAAAGTAGAACATCAAAGGTCTTGCTTTACTCTACACTAATGCACATTGTACAGACCTGTTAACCCTTCTCTACATCAACATTTAGCTTTTATTCTTCTGTTAAATGACTACATTCACAAACATCATTACACCATGTTGTTTGACCCTGGCTTAGCATTGTCAGTTAGAGGAGTGCCTGCAGTGAGGTGCGTTCAGGTGCTCAGTTGAAGGCCGGGTTGCGGACCCCCGACAGGCTGCTGATCGGAGTGCTTTTGCCTTTGAGGAGGGTGAGGGAGAAGATGAAGAAGCAGACACTAATGGCACCCAGGATGATCACCCCCGAGATGAGAGCACTGGTCACTGTGTTCATCTGAAACACCGGCGCCTTCAGGTGGGCTATAGCAGCACAGACAGAGAAATCATCACACACCTTCCTCATTTCATCTGCACCCCCACACACAAACTACTGTTGATGACGCATAGAGCATTTCCAGTCCAATTCTTTTGATGGCTTGTTTTTCTTGTTCCCAAGAACAATTACCCACAGAGTAATATGACACTGGGATATTTGCAGCTCAGGAATCAAACAGCAAATATAGCTTACTGACATGAGAGTCAAAGAGTCCAGAATATAACAAAGCCATGAGACACTGCATTGAGACCTCCTGGAGGATCAGCACATTTGTAAAAAAACAGAGTATCTATGCTGGTACTACATTAACTACAATCAGAATGTGAGTCTCTCTTAACCTGTCTGAATGCAATCATTTCTCAGCGATTTATGTTTTCATTCTGTGTTATGTAGCAAAATTACTAATCAAAGGGGACCTAGGGTCACACATTACGTGGATCAAACATCACAGGATATTAAGAAATAATAATGTTAAAGGGAATATTAAATGTTCCTTCAACCTAAATGCTTTAACAAGTTTCTCCCTTCCATTTCAATGAAAGGCTATCCCCCCCCCCACAAAGGACAGAATGCTCAGGCTCACCCAGCTGAGAGTTGTTGGTTGGCGTGTCATCTGTGGTAAAAAAGCAAAGAGCATTGAGGGTACATTTCTACTACATTACTCATCAGAATGCTACAGTTGGCAATGGCATGGATAAGTTCTCAACATCAGTCCCAACATTCAATTTCAGAATTTTAAAGCTTAAAGGAATTAAAAGTGCTGAATGCATGGTGTTTCAGGTGGGAGAAACAGCCCCCCTCTGTGCTGTGAGTGTTATCAGAATGTACCACTGCGAGTGATGATCGGCCCCGCAGTCAGGACGGCGTTCCCAGACGCAGCGCTGGATTCCCCCCCCTCAGACACGTCCCTCCTCTTCCTGCTGCCACAGATCTAAGACACATGAGAGGGGAGAGCTGGTACAATGTACTTATACTTTACTTTTGTATTTCCTTTAGTGCTACTTTATACTTCTACTCCACATTTAAAAGAGAAATAATGTAATTTGACTCCACTGCATTTATTTAACTGCTTTAGCTACTTTTAACAAAATGCATCTCTAAAAATTCAACTAGTGGGCTAACTCTTTAGTCACAAAAAAGTTTAAATATTGAAATATTTAACAAAGATTCTACAATAGTAAAATGCTTGTTTGTCTAAAACAGTAAGATGCTTCTTGATGCAACAATGTTATCTAGAAGTGTCACATATATATATATATTTAATTCTTTACAAACATTGATGCCATTTCTCTGCTCCATGAGTCCTAACTTTTTATACTTTAAATACATTTTACTGATAATACTTTTGTACTTTTACTCAAGTAAGAATTTGAAGGCAGGACTTTTACTTGTATTGAAGTATTTTGACCATAATGTTTTGGTACTCAAGTAAAGCTTTTGAATACTTCCACCCCTGGTATTTTTTACATTTCATCTACTTTAGTGTCCGTGCTACTCTGGTCAACATTGTGTAATTTGATACATGATTTTTTAAAAGAAGCAAAAACTGTAGGTGTCTTTTTGACCATAAAAGATTCATATTTAGCGATTAGTAATTGAAATAAAAAGGGTAATGTCTTCTCAGAGGGTAAACAGACTGTTACTGTTCTGCTCTGCCTTTCCACTCACACCCAACAAGCATTTAGGAAGTCTGATCAGAGAATTACCCTGCCACTGAAACTGGAGCCATACCATAGAGATGGTCTGTTCCAATAACATCTGACATGTTTTTTGAATTAGCAGAAAATAGTTTAACATTTTTTGTAAATACATAGTAAATAAATACATGATATCCTGCTGTAAATATCCAGCATGTCAATAAACACCTGGTGACAATAAATATAAGAATATAGAATTGACAGCAAAATGGACCACATTTAATTTACTAGAAGTACTCATACAGAATGAGCCAGTGTTAGATGTATGTACTTTAATATTTGTTTATTATTAATGTACCTACTGTGTAGATGCTTAGGCGGATGCTAATGTTCACAATTTGAGTTGCAGTTGGGTAGTTCATTTATAAAAATGCATCTTATTTTATGAGATAGGAATCTTTTTTTTGTATTTTTACTCTGCCCAATTTTGACCTCAGGGCTCAATTAAATCATTTTGTATTTCTAAATGTAAAATAAGTTTTGTGAAGTAAAAATTTAACTGCAAATGGAAATACCAAGGTCAAGTAGAAGTACTACAAATTTGTACTGGATCAGCGGAACTTGCCATTACTGTTGCTGATGATGTGTGAGGGTGAATGTTTGAGTCAAAGGAAAGGAAAGCGTATGTAATGAGAGGTCTGGACTGAATATGTGTGCTCGGTGTTCTTCTTGTGTGTTTGCAGTGTTAGGTGTCCTGTGGGTCTCACTGGCATGAGCATTGGACAGTCATCAGCCCGACACAGTTTGGTGACACAGTGCAGGAAGACGGTAGACATCTTCTGGTTCTTGTGCTTCACAAAGCGGAATACTTCAAAGGCAAAGCGTCCCATCTGGCTCTTGCCATTTTCAAAGACAGCGGTTTGGGGGTCTTTGTCACAACTGGCTCAGAGAGGGAAAATCAGCACGTTTTATTAGAAAGGAGAGCAACTGAAATATAATAACTGAACAAAATCTGTGTCTTCAAATTGAGTTACCTAAAGAAAAGATCATAGCGGAGGTCATCGTTGGGGTTTCCAGAGGGCGTGGTATAACAGTAGTCCATCAGAACATTCCATCTGTTCCACAGGACAGAGAGGTCATGTGCTGCACTCTCATCACTCCTAAAGTGATCTTTGTGTTTTCAATAGATATCATTTTCTATAATAATTAGCCCTGTTTCCAAAAAATACTTTATATACTACCAATTTGTTTTTGTAGGAAAATACATTTGCTACATGGATTATGTTCCAACATACATTTGGTAACATTTACTGAACACATGAATCATAGGGAGATGGTCAGAGGCTGGGGGCCCGTTGGCAGCACAGTTTACGGCCCCTGGGTCTTCCACTTGGTTTTTAACACTAAAAGCTGTTTTCACAAACGTCTTTTAAAGGGGGGATATTTTCTCCGTGCTTATTTCAATGAACAATATTTGCTTTGCATATTATAGATTATTCATTGACATTATTTCTACTAATTCTGTAAAAATAAAAACATTATTCAAGTGGTGAACCCACCCCCCCCCAATAATACGAACATTCTTCGTTTTGATTATCCCCCCTTCCTCCTCAATCAGAGGCAAGATAACACTGCAGAGACAAACCATGGAGTAATCTGAGCCATTTTCAACACCAGAGGGCAGAGCTGGCTCTCTGATAAAAGGAAACCATTTGCAAAAACAGTTACAGGTGGTTCTAGTCAGAGAGAACCTGGTGGGTTCCCTGCAGAGGTCGGTCACAATCACAATGCTCTTTCTGACTTTCACATAGTAATTACATTAGCTGATGTAAGCAGGTCAAGGATACCTGGAAACACATTCATAAACCAGTCCAAATGAAATGTGTTAAGGTGCTCAGATACCGCTGTACTGTGCTTTATATCCGCTTCACTCACACATTTGTGAAATTCTTTCTTTTTTTTAAGTAAACAACGATTAGCAGTGTTTGATACCATGTGATTTTGATGCTGTTTCGCTGTATTTGTGAGTATTTGAGGGACTTTAAAATCATGAGAAAAGTTAGAACAAAGTAAGTCAGATTCAAACCCAGACTTTCCCATCCCTGCACTCTGTTTATCATTAAGAAGCATCGTGCCATAAAACACAAACGTTCTGTGCAGGTGAACAAAAGGACACACAAAGCACAGCCTAATCCCTCCTGAGTCCCATGGGAATGTTCAGGCTGATTTCAAAGCTTCTTCTCATGTGTCTCTTATTACGAGTCAGGCAGCATTTTTCATTAAAACGTTATTCCTTTTCAAGAGTTGCGACTCCTTTTCCATAAACCTGGTAATTAGGTGAAGTTCTACCAGAAATACCCTCAGCCTATGTATCATCTACATTTAGCTCAGAGGTGCCAAATGTGTAATCACAGCCCTGAGTGTGTCACAGTCAGAATAGATGTGGTTTCCTTACAACTAACTTACTTATCACATGTTCAGACAATTTGGCTGAAAACCAACAACAGCAGAACATCATTATTCAACCTGAATGACTGCATACCTTCGATCCAGGTTAGCGGCTTTGACAGCTGCGAACACACGCGTCTTCAGGGTGAGTCCAGCCATGGGGATGGACAGCTGCTGGATGTACGATGAGTCCTGGAGACAAACACAAGAAACTTCAGCATGTTTCTCACACACCCTCACTCTGTCTTCCTGTTGGGAGTAAAGTGTTTCATTGCACTACTCATCACAAATCTGTCTGGTTTACATACAATCCCATTCACCAGTGTAACATTGACAAGTGGTTCCAGAGTAATGTTTGTGTTGAGGGTATGTTCAATATAATCTACTCCATTTACAGTATACAAGGTCCAATTAGGGCTGCATGCAATGGTATCCTCTCCATCTTGAACATGGATCATCATTCTCAGAAATTGTTAGTGAAGATGTAAAAGGGGCAGACTCATTTAACATAGCTGCAGAGTTTGGTACGCTGTTTGATGCATGCTTGATGTTTGGCTAACCTAACCCCCTGTGCAGAATAACAACAGATGTTCAGACAGAGTGATGTGAACGTACATTGTATAGTAGTAGATTCAACGTGCTGATGAAAGTACCGTTGCTTTCCTTCACTGAGATTGCAGCTGCTGACCTGCAATGAAGATAAAATATCAAGGCTGCCAAAAACATTTTGAAACGGGATTCCAATATTTCACAATGACCTGATGTGGAAATCTCTTTGTAATCACAAAATGTGTTTGTAAGGATGGATGATATTTAACTTTCTAAATGTTACAGAATGAAATAATGAGGAACAGCCTTGATGAAATGCCAAGAAGCCAAACCTGAACATATGTCTGTGACTTTGCTTCTGTCTGCTACTGTGACCAAAAGTCAAATCTTCAGTTCAGACCTTGTTATAAATATCTTCTCTGGTATCATTCATTTTAAACATAAATACATTTGTCTCGGAATGCATTATTATTATTATTATTATTATTATTATTATTATTATTATTATTATTATTATTATTATTATTATTATTATTATTATTATTATTATTATTAAGCAGAATATTGTGCATCGTATAAAATATTATCCATCGTGGTTAACAACAGAAATTCAGTACTAAAATGATAAACTGCATTAATTAGATATTAGATATATACATATGGGAGGTTTTTATTTCCCTTTGTTCACCCGGTTTGTATAATAGTTCAAATTTGACATCACAAGTGGCACAGTCAGAAATGTCCAAACAGAGGTCCCACTGAGCACTTTGAAAACAAAAGCAGAGACTCACGAGGCCAGCTGTGTGTTGTTCACCAGGTATTCCAGTGGGTAACTGCAGCTGAACTTGTACAGCAGCCCTGGCAGGTAGCTGATGATGGTGGGGGGGTCCGGAGTGTCGATGTACCCTGATATGTTCCCAATCTGCACCAGTGACAGGTTGCCATAAGCGTTGGGTCCTTGAGCTGTGGAGACCTGCAGCAAACCACATCAGTGGTGAAACTCCTGGCAGTATGGCAGTGAGCAGGCTGATGCTGCACTAATCCACCCGTCTATCCCCCTTTATCTGAGCACGGACCCTCCAGAAACTCAGTCAATCCTCCTAACACTAGAGGCCCTGTCAGGATCCAGCAGCAGCGTCTCTACACAGATAAGCAGTGCTCGACTCTATTCCCATGCAGGATAAAAACGACTTGTCAACATGGAGCTTGTTACTGTGCCACACAGCTGGTTGTAATAAAACACTGACACACTGCTGGGAGGCTTTTCACACCGTTTTTGAAGTTATACACTTCAGTGTGTTTGTTCTGCTGTTAGCAATTCAATGTTATAAAGATAATTGTCGAGTCAGAGAAGAATATGAATCATTCATGTTGTTTTTAACTGGGTGTGGCTAAATACAGCACTAACCTTACATACCCCATTAACATATGACATTTTTTCAAAGCTATTGGTATTATAATATTTCTGTAAGGTACACAAAGCGACACACAGGGTGCAGTGTCAGTGGTGCTGACAGTAACACTCTTACCACCAGGGAGTTTCCACAGGACTCCAGCGTGGCCAGACTGATACTAAAGATCACTACAGTGGGGAAGGTGTTGTTGTTGATGAAACCGCGGCAGTGGGCATCTCCATGGCGACCATTGAGGGCCAGGTCAGAGTCAGTGTAGCCAGAAAAGAGGACGGGGCAGAAGTTGATCTTGAGAGTGATGGTCTGCACCCCACAGTACACACTGATATCCCTCTCAGCTGCAAGACACACACGTGATGAAATCAAAATGAGTGCAGTTCTAGAATAACGGTCCAGTACCAACATGTTACATTTTGTTTAAATGACAAATGAGGAATTGGTATAATGTGGTGGAAAATGTCATCATCTCCTCTTGGGACTTTGAAGCAGGTTTGAAGTCAACTTTCTTTTTAAAGAGACATTGACATGTGAATTCCATTCAGTAAATGAAACATACAAATGTGTTGCTCCTCACCGGGGAAGCGGCTGTGAAAGTTGGCATCACAGTTATATCCATTGAATTGAGCTCCAGCTGATAAAGCTTTACTGAACAGTAAAAGAATCAAAAATATATGTTCCATTTCAGCACCTGGAACAGAGAAAGAATGTGCACTGAGAAATCCGTCACTTCAGAAAACAAAACAAAAAAAGTGAAATGTATCCAATGGTTCATTATTTTTCTCCAAGTGTGCTTGAAGGAGGAGAATATTTCCCCACAAGATTCGAGTTATTTCACAGCAGTTTGACTCCAGAGGAACATACTTCATATGCTTGTCAACCAAATAAAAAGTAAACAAATGTTACATGGAATTATTTATAAAAGCTGCAAAGTTCTTAAAACGATGCTGGATAATTACTGATGTCATATCATCAGGTGCGATGGTTTATCACTGAGTGCACATTTCATGGTCCTGTGAAAACCTCCTCTCACAGAATTATTGTCAGTCCCACATACAGGGTTTCAGTCCTGATGAAAAAGCTAAATTAAAGAAGTAATTTCACCAAGTTAGCAGGTACTGACCTAGCTCTGACAGTACACATGTAAAAAGGCAGACCATTGCTCTACGAGAAGTAGGACCACTCACCCTGGTTCCTGGAAGCAAGCGAGTCAGCGGTTCTCCATAAGCTTGGGACAGACGATGGAATGGTCCGCACAGCATCCCTACCCACAACTAGAACAGGACTCGAGAGCAGGGGGGGAAAAGGGATCCTACACATAAGAGATTCATTATTTGAACATGTCAACAAAAAAGGGCTGTCCAAAGTAACATGGGAAAGTCCATCAAATTTGAATGTGTTATACAAATCCTTTCACGTCTGCAGAAACATGAGCAGGTTTTGAAGTTTCCCACTCATATCCTTTCGGCCCAATCTGGCTGTGTCACTGCTCACAAATGGTTTGACGCCGCATGAGGTCCAGAAGCGGTGGGGGGGGAGAATTATCTTTTCATCGCTCCAGTGGCCCTGGCCTGCTGACTGAGCCGTTCCTTTCTCCCCTGGCCGGCCGGGAAGTGCAGAGCCCATCACGCTGGCCTTTGGCCCCTGGAATCCACACTTTTCATGCTTTGTGTTCAGCGGTCCTCCGTCAGCACAGCAGCAGGCAGTCTGTTGGTGGGGCTGCGGGCTGCTGCCGGCCTCCTACCTGATCCGCAAACTTTGATATCTGGTCACAGGACTCTTGCCACATAAAGAGAGCAAAGAAAAAGAAAGCAAAGTTCATGGAGTTTGAAGGGATTAGCTGGTCCTCGCTGTCCCATCTTCCATATGTACAGCAGTATATGTGACGGCTGGTGCAGTGTGAACCCCGCAGAGCACACTGGGATCCTGTGAATGTGGAATATGAGATGGAGATTTTGGGCAAACCTCTCACTTTAGGTCCAATGGAAAACAAAAGAGGCAATGTTTTTTTGTCTTCTTCAGACTGCATGAAAATCCGCCCTTGTTTATTTTTCCTCTCCACAGAGGTCTGCCACCACCAAGATTATCGCACACCAGCTTCAAAAGTAACATGTTGCATCGACAATCTGTCCTTAAATCTGCTCTTACAACATCTATACTTCAAACAACTTAGGTTGGGTTGGGTTGCATATTCATAAATTGATATGAGCTAATATGATCAGGTGCTATCTGCTCTTACCTTATTATTCTCAACTGATTTAGAGTATCTTTAGCCTTCATCTTTGGTGTTTCCTTTAAGGTTTCGGCAGTCTTCTTGCACACTGGACCGTAGTGACTGAGGATCCAGACACTCAGTCCTTCAATGCTGACATTTTCACTCCGAGGGCTGTTTAGGAAAGGGAGCACTGAGTTGGCAACTTCCTATTTCTAAGGACGTTGCTAATCCAGATCAATTGTAATTACGAGAATCTTAGCCAAAAACTGGAGAAATGGCTTCACTGCAGACTGATAGCCATCTAGAGTGCTCCAGCTCTTCAATTATCCACAAATAATTTCAGCGCTTTACATGCCTGATAGATAGATATAATTGTATCAGTATGAGAGCATCTTAATCCATAGAGCATGGCAACCATGGAGGCCAGAGGCACTATTTTGGAATTGTTCTTCAATTTACACAAACAGACAGACATTGTCAAACCACAGCTATCAGGTGACAGTCTACCTATGTCTAAATCCTGAGTGCTCTTTAAAAGGTATGTGCACGCATAACTTCCTATTGGACAAATATCATTGCATTCTAAACATGCAACATATACTGTAACCAACACATGTTCACACTTGTTGGAATACAGTTAAAAAAATAAGACTACATTTTTTTTTTTTTAAATGTTGACATTCTTGGCAGGGAAGAGATCCCCCAGGATGTGACTTTAATCTAAAATTGAACAGAATACTCAGTCCTCAATATGTATGAAATGCATGTCTAGGAGCCATAATGCTACTTAGCCCGAGTTCATTATTTGTATTATTATTATTTGTTTACGTCACTTTTATTTGTTTGTTGAGCACTTCCGGTAACTGCACATTGGTGTGATTTGTGCATATCGGTCACCATGTCGAGTGCGGATGACAGAGGGTGAGCTTGTGCTGTCATTTTTTCTGTTGACCGTTTTGTCCATAGTTACTGTGTTTTGATTTTGTTAAATATCGTAAAACTATCTTGCTTCAGTATGGACTTTCTTTTTGGAAACGCGTCACAGTTTATATCCAAGCTTAGCCTCTCTGTCAATGTAATTAGTGCCTGAATACTGAATACATGGCTCTGAAAGTAATCCGAATACAGTTACTCTACGTGTCCTACAGTTACGTATTCAGATTACTTTTAGAATACTTTTGGAATACTTTTCTTTTTCCATAACAGATGGGTATGTTTTGGTGAACAGGAGACACGTATTTTACTGTTTTAATGGCTTATCAAGAACTCAAACACAACATCTTGGTGTCATTCTGGACAGCTCCCTCTCATCTGCACCACAGATAACAAACATCACCCGGACTGCATTCTTCTCCAGACTTTGCCCTGTCTCAATCCAGCACTGAAGTCCTGGTTCATGCATTCCTCACATCCCGTATTGACTATTGTAATACCATGCTCTCAGGCCTTCCCATCAAACTTCAAATCATTAAGAACTCTGCTGCCCGAATCATCACCCGCACCAAGTCCTCTGACCACATCACCCCCATCCTCACCCGTCTGCATTGGCTACCTGTAAAATACCGGATAGACTTCAAAACCCTCCTGCTCACATTCAAAGCCCTCCACAACCTGGCCCCCACCTATCTGGCTGACCTCCACTCCTCCTCTGCTGGTCTGCTAACTGTCTCTACCCCATGCCTAGTCACGATGGGGAATCTGACTTTTAGCTGCTCCCAAACTATGGAACTCTCTCCCCCTTCCCATCCGACAGTCTGACACAATCACCACATCGTCCCTCCTTAAAACCCACCTGTTCAGATCAGTTACTCCCTGTAGTGCTACATGTCTCCTGTTTCCCAACATGTTCCCTGTTACAGTCCTTTTGTACTGTCTTAAACCTTTCCTTAGAATATTTTATGAAATTTAAGGTGTCCTTGGGTGCCTCGATAGGCACCTCTAAATAGAATGAATTATTATTATTAGGGTCTGAGACCCTATTGAAATCGGTCGCGCAGCGACCGATAAACCTGCGAAACACACCCAAAACAGCGAAAACGACCGGCAAAAGCACAGAAAAGGTTCGGAAATCATGACGGCTGATAGGCCGCGTGAGTCCCACTGCAACTCGCATAATTGATATTGTTACGAACACAGGGAAAACGAGGGGCAAAAGCCCATTAAAAGTGGCCTAAATCATGACAGTAGGTAGCCCACAGCGACTACAGTGACGTGTGCTGTAAACTAGCACATTATTGAGATCAGACCGATTGTTTTTTATTATTATTATTATTTTAATAAAGTGCGTGCACTTTTGACCCCCGCAACATATGTGAAAACTCACCAAATGTTGCACGCGCGTCAGAAGTGGTGAAAATGTTGATGTTTAATTGGTTCCGGAACTTTGAGTCAAAAAGTTCGTAGGCCACGCCCACTTCCGTTTTTAACGTAAACTCCCCCCACTTTAACTTTCACGTAAACGAACGAAACTCGCTACGCATATATAGGGTGCGAAGACGAACAAAAAAGCCTCTTGGAGGGGTATAAAATAACGTACAGGAAGTCGGCCATTTTGAATTTGGCGTTTGAAAAACGCGATTTATCACGATGATGTCATAACTCAAACTGACATACTCAGAACGCCACCAAACTTCACATGATGGTTAACACTACGGCCCTGAACAGCTCTAGGTCAAATCTGATGTTACTTAATTTGGCGTTACCACGGCAACGGATCCTTCGCCATAAACTACGGTGTCGCTGTAACTCCAATGGACACGGTCCCATCGTCCCCAAATCTTCACTTTTATAACAGCTCTACATGAAATCTGAGATCTCACCATATGCCGTTTCCATGGCAACACATCCTTCGCCAAAAAATACGATGTTGTTGTAATTCAATGGAAAATCGTCCAAACAGCACCAGACTTCAGACTATCATTAATGGGCCGGCCCTCAACAGCTCTATGTCAATTAGGGGATGTCATCATATGCCGTTGCCATGGCAACAGATCCCTCGCCATGAAACATGGTGTTGTCCTAACTCAATGGAAATTCATCCAAACGGCACCAGACTTCATATGATGGCTACTAGTCCGGCCCTCAACAGCACTATGTCAATTAGGGGCAGTGTTGGGTGTAACGCGTTACAAAAGTAACGGAGTTACAGTAATTTATTACTTTTTTCTATAACGAAGTAATGTAACGCATTACTTATGAAATGTGGGTAATATATTACCCGTTACAATGCTCAGTAACGCAGTTACAACACATTTTAACCCGAAATTAAATGGTGTTTTGTTTTTTAAGAATTTACTAACATAGCGAGACATTCCGACACCAGACAAATTGTGCGGGTAGATTAGTAAACCTGGTGTTTACCCTTCAGGCTTCGCATCGGGATCTTCGGGGCAGTTGAATGTTATGCAACCTCTATTAAAAAAAGAGAACGGAGCGAAAAATACAAACAACAAATTGTGTCAGGTGCGCGTGACCTGCTCCGCTGCGCGTGCATCATTTCCAAAGTGCTTCCACAGCAGTGACACACATCTGTGGATAATCATGTATACACAAATGGTTAAAGCAACCATCACTAAACGCCAGCAACACTGCATCTACTGCAGACAGTAGCAACAGGTCAGATGGGGACATCACGTTACCCTCCGTTGTGGACACTTAACGGCCCCTACACACGGCGGCGCCTGACTCGCCCGAAACTACGCCGCCCCTCTGCGGCCCTTAGGTGCCAGGATACCATGGCAAAACAGAGCCTGCCCAGGTATATCTAAACAAGTACCCGCCTGTACAGTGGGGTTAGGCGGTCATTTTGCAGCTCGTCGTGGTATACAAATAGACAAGGTCTAGAATATTCATGTGAAAATAGTGCCATATTCTGCCATGCCTGTAGAAATGTTGGGTCAAACATAATGCATACAATAGCACAGATGCCTTCACCACGAATGGCTACAAAAAGATCTCATATCCCAAGCTTATCAACGAGCTAATGTTGCAGCTGAAATGTTCTCCAGGTCACAAAGTCAACCTCACATGATGATGTGATACCAGTTTTCAAGCACAGTACATATTCTCTTCCCAGAGTATATGATGGGACCAAAGAGATGTGTAGTACATGGTTTTAATAATACTTTTGCTTTTCAATGTTTGCCATTTCAAACCATGAGCTGGTTCAAATCATATTTGCCTTGATTTACAATATGTTCTCATTTCTTTTATCAGTAGCTTTGAAGCTTTTGTGCTTTTCTTTGCCACAGTCCACTTTGGACTGTATGAAATATTTCAGGATTGCACTTTTAACTCACTTGAAATGTTCTCACTTGCTTGGTTTCAAAACATAACAAAGGCCATAATCTGTTCATTGGGGACCATCAATGCTATTTGTCATTGCTGTTGCCGGCCACTATTGCTCATG